TCAATTGGAAGGGTATAGACAAGGAGAAAGATGGTCGAGTCGATAGTGATGATGTTGATGTCTTGCTTGCTGCATGCTTCTCACGTCTCTGATGCTTGAAAAATAAAATGCCAGGAAACATCCGTTTTTCTGTGTACTGCCTTTATTGTGATACAAGCAAAGTCACAAATAACAATGATATTCTGAATGGCTGATTACATACTCTTGAAGTCGCGTTGTGTTTTCATTTCTCGTTGCTTTGTTAACTGGTTCTAGTGTCTGTAACTTTTGCCTGGCTTCTAGTACTGTCTGGTTCTAGTGTTGTACTGTTGCTGGCTTCTAGCCTGGTGTCTTAACTTTTGCTAGTGCTGTCTGGTTCTAGTGTCTGTAACTTTTGCCTGGCTTCTAGTACTGTCTGGTTCTAGTGTCTGTAACTTTTGCCTGGCTTCTAGTGCTGTCTGGTTCTAGTGTCTGTAACTTTTGCCTGGCTTCTAGTGCTGTCTGGTTCTAGTGTCTGTAACTTTTGCCTGGCTTCTAGTGCTGTCTGGTTCTAGTGTCTGTAACTTTTGCCTGGCTTCTAGTACTGTCTGGTTCTAGTGTCTGTAACTTTTGCCTGGCTTCTAGTACTGTCTGGTTCTAGTGTCTGTAACTTTTGCCTGGCTTCTAGTACTGTCTGGTTCTAGTGTCTGTAACTTTTGCCTGGCTTCTAGTGCTGTCTGGTACTAGTGTATGTAACTGCCGCCTGGCTTCTAGTACTGTCTGGTTCTAGTGTATGTAACTGCCGCCTGGCTTCTAGTGCTGTCTGGTTCTAGTGTAGGTAACTGTCGCCTGGCTTCTAGTGCTGTCTGGTTCTAGTGTCTGTAACTGTCGCTTGGCTTCTAGTACTGTCTGGTTCTAGTTACTGTAACTGCCACCTGGCTTCTAATGTTGTCTGGTTCTAGTGTCTGTAACTGTCGCTTGGCTTCTAGTACTGTCTGGTTCTAGTGTCTGTAACTGCCGCCTGGATTCTAGTGCTGTCTGGTTCTAGTTACTGTAACTGCCGCCTGGCTTCTAGTGCTGTCTCGTTCTAGTGCCTGTAACTGTCGCTTGGCTTCTAGTGCTGTCTCGTTCTAGTGCCTGTAACTGTCGCTTGGCTTCTAGTGCTGTCTGGTTCTAGTTACTGTAACTGTTGCCTGGCTTCTAGTGCTGTCTGGTTCTAGTTACTGTAACTGCCGCTTGGCTTCTAGTACTGTCTGGTTCTAGTTACTGTAACTGCCGCCTGGCTTCTAGTGCTGTCTGGTTCTAGTTACTGTAACTGCCGCCTGGCTTCTAGTGCTGTCTGGTTCTAGTGTCTGTAACTGCCGCCTGGCTTCTAGTGCTGTCTGGTTCTAGTTACTGTAACTGTCCGCTTGGCTTCTAGTGCTGTGTAAACTGCGTTCTAGTTACTGTAACTGGTCGCCTGGCTTCTAGTGCTGTCTGGTTCTAGTTACTGTAACTGCCGCCTGGCTTCTAGTGCTGTCTCGTTCTAGTGTCTGTAACTGCCGCCTGGCTTCTAGTGCTGTCTCGTTCTAGTGCCTGTAACTGTCGCTTGGCTTCTAGTGCTGTCTGGTTCTAGTTACTGTAACTGCCGCCTGGCTTCTAGTGCTGTCTGGTTCTAGTTACTGTAACTGCCGCCTGGCTTCTAGTGCTGTCTGGTTCTAGTTACTGTAACTGCCGCCTGGCTTCTAGTGCTGTCTGGTTCTAGTTACTGTAACTGCCGCCTGGCTTCTAGTGCTGTCTGGTTCTAGTGTCTGTAACTTTTGCCTGGCTTCTAGTGCTGTCTCGTTCTAGTGTATGTAACTGTCGCTTGGCTTCTAGTGCTGTCTCGTTCTAGTGTATGTAACTGTCGCTTGGCTTCTAGTGCTGTCTCGTTCTAGTGTGTGTAACTGTCGCCTGGCTTCTAGTGCTGTCTCGTTCTAGTGTATGTAACTGTCGCTTGGCTTCTAGTGCTGTCTCGTTCTAGTGTATGTAACTGCCGCCTGGCTTCTAGTGCTGTCTGGTTCTAGTGTATGTAACTGTCGCCTGGCTTCTAGTGCTGTCTGGTTCTAGTGTATGTAACTGTCGCCTGGCTTCTAGTACTGTCTCGTTCTAGTGTATGTAACTGCCGCCTGGCTTCTAATGCTGTCTCGTTCTAGTGTGTGTAACTGTCGCTTGGCTTCTAGTGCTGTCTCGTTCTAGTGTGTGTAACTGTCGCTTGGCTTCTAGTGCTGTCTCGTTCTAGTGTGTGTAACTGTCGCCTGGCTTCTAGTGCTGTCTCGTTCTAGTGTATGTAACTGTCGCTTGGCTTCTAGTGCTGTCTTGTTCTAGTGTATGTAACTGCCGCCTGGCTTCTAGTGCTGTCTGGTTCTAGTGTCTGTAACTGTCGCCTGGCTTCTAGTGCTGTCTGGTTCTAGTGTAGGTAACTGTCGCTTGGCTTCTAGTGCTGTCTCGTTCTAGTGTGTGTTACTGTCGCCTGGCTTCTAGTGCTGTCTGGTTCTAGTTACTGTAACTGCCGCCTGGCTTCTAGTGCTGTCTGGTTCTAGTTACTGTAACTGCCGCCTGGCTTCTAGTGCTGTCTGGTTCTAGTTACTGTAACTGCCGCCTGGCTTCTAGTGCTGTCTGGTTCTAGTTACTGTAACTGCCGCCTGGCTTCTAGTGCTGTCTGATTCTAGTGTCTGTAACTGTCGCTTGGCTTCTAGTGCTGTCTCGTTCTAGTGTCGCTTTGTGTCTAGTGCGGTCTCGTTCCACTGTCGCCTGGCTTCTAGTGCTGTCTGGTTCTAGTTACTGTAACTGCCGCCTGGCTTCTAGTGCTGTCTCGTTCTAGTGTCTGTAACTGCCGCCTGGCTTCTAGTGCTGTCTCGTTCTAGTGTCTGTAACTGTCGCTTGGCTTCTAGTGCTGCCTGGTTCTAGTGTCTGTAACTGCCGCCTGGCTTCTAGTGCTGTCTGGTTCTAGTGTATGTAACTGCCGCCTGGCTTCTAGTGTTGTCTGGTTCTAGTGTCTGTAACTGCCGCCTGGCTTCTAGGGCTGCCTGGTACTAGCGGCTTGATCGTCGTCTCTAAGATCTCAGTAGTGTTTCTCTAAAATGTGTCTCTATTAACTACGAATCCATGTCGTCTATGTAGTTCGATGTCTCGTTTCATGTCTCTTCTCTAATGTCTGTCTTCGAGGCTCTTTGAGACTGGTTCCTCTGCTTCTAGTGTTGAGCTGGCATCTCCATAACTGCGATGGTCCACGTTACTAGTCCCTGATCTTATAAGTTTCATAGACTAAAGGCTTTCTTTGAGGGACAATGTTACTAGTCCCTCCTCTTTTAAGTCTCACAGACTGAAGGCTTTCTTTAGGGGTCAATGTTACTAGCCCCTCCTCTTCTGTCTCATAGACTAAAGGATTTCCTTGAGTGTCAATATTACTAGTCCCTCCTCTTCTAAGTCTCACAGACTGAAGGCTTTCTTTGAGTGTCCATGTTACTAGTCCCTGATATTCTAAGTCTCATAGACTGAAGGATTTCTTTGAGGGTCCATGTTACTAGTCCCTGATCTTCTAAGTCTTATAGACTGAAGGATTTCCTTGAGGGCCCATGTTACTACTCCCTCCTCTTCTAAGTCTTGTGGACTGAAGGATTTCTTTGAGGGTTTCTTA